ATACAATAACAATACGCGTGTGGTTAGGTAGATTCGACAGTACGATAATGAAAAAATAAGTTTCATTTACTAAAAACTAATACAAGAATATAGGACATACACACTATAGTGTTTATGTACAGTACGAGTTAGCAGTGATTAGGTGGATAAATTGAAGAAAAAAAGGGAATGTTAATGTTATAAACTAGAAATGAATGAGAAGGAAATATAGAATTCAATAGACTTTTATGTATTTTATTGAGAATTAATTAGGGCTACAAGGGATGAAATAGTCAGAGTAACTGGGGTTGCATGAATTAATGATCATCATTATTTAAAGAGTTAAATATTTCAATAATCACCCAAGTTATACAATGGCCGTGGTTTACTCTAAATTCTAAAGTGACTCCCATTGCACACTGAATTTTTTTCATTTGCACTCCATCCATTATCCTAAAAAATGTGTTACCTTATTTTTTGGCGTGACTAGCAGAAATCTCACGTTACAAAGTGATGACAGGTAATCATTCATCTTTGAGACGTTGCACTACATCCATCATCCACGGGATTCCGTTCCCTTTGTTGTTAACGTATCACACGAAACTCTTAGTGGCGAGTTACGATCGTTAAAAAAATTAAAACTCAACTAAACTATCAACTTACCAAAATCATCATATGTGAAACGCGATTTACATGGTCCCGTAGACTTATTTTTTAAGTCTCAATGCATTCCCAATTTCAACTCTAAAAAACTAGCCTCCAATTCACTTATCTCACCCCATGCACATTTAAATTATTAGTTATTACTAAGACAGAATCGACTATTGAGAAGGAGACAAGAAGCCACTATAATTGTACCATCCGTTTGACATCTCTTTCCTCAATCGTTCCTCTAATAGTTGGACACATGGTTGCAAAAATGGAAAATTGGGATTAGAGAGACATCAAGCGATGGTACAATAATTGGGGTATATGACTTTATAAGTAATAACTTCTTGTATCATTCTCAATAATTGATTTTGTCTCAGTAGACAATCTAGTTGTGCGTGGGGTGAGATCAGTGAATTGAGGGTTAGGGTTTTTTAGTGCTGCAATTAAAACGCATTATTGGGATTTAAAGGAGTTTATGGGGTCGTGGAATTTCACGTATTGATTTCAGTGAGTTGATAGTTTGGTTTGAGTTGTAATTTTTTAACTATCATAATTTGTCACGTGAGATTTTCATGCGATATGATAGAAACAAAGGGAACGGAATTCGATGGATGCGGATGGAGTGCAACATCTCAAAAATGAGTGATTATTGAGAAGTATTTTAAAGTTTGATGAGTAAATCACGATCAAGTATAAGTTGAATGAGTAAAGAAATATTGATTTGATTGAACTGTAATTTTTTTAGTGGCTATAAATTGCCACATGAAATTTCCATTAGCCATGTCAACAATAAGGTAATGGATTGTTTAGGATGATAAGATGGAGTGCAAACGGGCAAAGTTGAGCGTAACTTGCCACGTTGAATTTCGTTAGCTATATTAGCGAATAAGGTAATAGATTTTTGAGGATTATAGGATGAATGAAAACGGACAAAGTTCAATGATCACTCTGAAGCATTTTGAAGTTTAGTGAGTAAATCGTGATTATGATATAAGTTGGGTGATTATTGTAACATTTATCTCACTATTTAATATATAATTTACAACTGTTGAAAATTTATTCGATATATTAGCTAATATTATCTTGTAGTACCAACGAAATTGGAAGTAAATATAATTGGTTTAAATTTTTTATAAGCCCATGTTTGTGGCCTTAAAATTCAAAAAAAAAAAAAAAAAAAAAAAAATAAAATTTTTAATTTTTAAAAAAATATTAAATTATTCTTTTTTTGGTGCCCGTTATCTCAAAAAAAAAAAAAAAAAGTTTTGAATAGTATTTTTTTGAGAATTTGTGGTTGAAAATGGGTATGAAAAATAAATTTAAGCAAAGTAAAGTAAAGTAAAGAAACTAAAACAGGGGCTAAATAGATAAAAATAATAATGATAGATAAGTGAGTAATACCTGATAATTCCACGTGTTGTATGAATAAAAACTATATTTGATTCATTAAAATGGTGTCTTCTAGTTTGGATATGCTAAAAATTAATTTTTGATCGATTTTAATAAAAATTGATAAAAATATAATTGTAAAAAGAATAAAAGTTGCGAATTCCATTAAATGTGTTATCAAAAATTAATTATTAACATTGACTCAAGTTTTTATCATTCTTTTTAGTTAAATCAAACATGGTCGACAAAGTCAAGAATCATAAAAATAACTACTAATTACATTTACAATATATATATATATATATTGCATTAGGAACCAATGCGTTTAGTATTTATGGGGTATTAAATTAAATCATCATTTGTATTAGAATCCTATTATTTATTTATCTTCAATTGGCTTACAAACATTTTTTCTTTTTTCATGCCAATCAAATGTTGTCCCTTTACATTAGTTCAAAGCAAGATTAATAAAAACAGGTTCTTTAAAATTGTTTTGGATTATATTCACAACGAGAACAAAAAAAAAAAAGAAAAAAGGTAAATAGGATTGAATAGAAATATATTTAATTACGAAATAATTACTATTCCATTGATTGATCTAAAGTTGTGAATAAAAATATTTTTCAATCTAAAAATAGTCAAAGTTTCAATTACTTTACAGTTTCAATGTTATTCTTTAACAAAATGTTAAATTTGAGATCAATTACATAGTTTATTTTTTGTCACTCTATTCAATTCATTGCTAATTTTACTCAAAAGATTTAAAGCAAAATTTAGGTTAGGGAAAACTGCAGCACGGTACCAAACTTTTCATTTAGTTGCAGGCTTTACCCAAACATTTCATTTGTGTCACATACTCAAGAGAACTCATCAAAATTTCCACCACCATTATCAAACCCATCAAGAAACTCCAACTCCTCTGTCAACTACCCAACCGCTCATCATCGCCGTCTCCAATTTCCAATTCAATTCTTGAAACCAAACAAAAATGTGAAAATGAATGGCAATCTTCTAACATTAATTACATCCATCGCAATTTGTAACTCTTCCCACATCTCAATAGCCCCTCACCTACAAAATTTCAAATTATGCTTTGGCTGGCGTTAATGGGGTGGAGTAGGGGAGATTTTGGTTGGTGGTGCTGTTGTATTTTAGTGTTTGGTTTTGGGGTGGGTAGTGGGGTAGATTTTGGATTTGGTTTTTGATATTTTGTTTTTTGTTTTATTTTAATTCAAAATTACTATTTACTCATTTCAAAATTGATCGAGTCAATTAACGGTCAAACTAACAGTTTCAATTCATTCGAACTCCATTTGCGAATTTTTTAAATGTTTGGTACCATGAATGATATACATGAAAGGTTTAGACAAAGTCTGCCTGCAATTTTCCTTTTAGGTTATTAACAATCAAAATAGACCAAATTACTCGTGCTCAATTTATCATCATTCTAACTTGTACTCCCCTAAAATCATGACACTTCTGTAAACACGAGATTTTTTTAAGTTTATACATGTAAACAAATCAGGACCACATATAAACGTATTTCTGTTAAATTAAATAATATTTTTATTGATTATAGTTAAATAATTAAATTATTTATTGCTTTTAGATATGTAATTATTTTACTTAAAAGTAAAAAAAAAATGAATACTTCTCTCCTAAAAGTTAGCCGTCCATACTCAAGTTGACAAATTGCCAACTCCTTGATTGAGACACAATTTTGCCCTCTCAATTGAATGCATTAACTTTGCTACATCAACCATTATCATATCTTTACAAGTTGCACATGCATGTGCAGACATCAAGACAATTAAATTATTTATTACTTTTAAATAAATTTTTTTTTTAGTTTAAATGGGGGAAAAAAATCAAACCGGCTCAGAAGAAAAAAAAAAAACCCTTTTTTTTACCCCTTAAAAGTTAGCCCGACTCAAGTTGACAAGTTGCTAAGTCGAATAAATTCAATTTTGCCTTCTTAGTTGAATTTATTCCATGTTTGGTGATCATTTATTTAGAAAAATATTGTTTTGAATAGTGAATTTTTGGAGAATATGCAGTTAAAATATAAAAAAAACTGAATTTACGTGTAAAATGTTTTATCGTGTGAATATATAGTTAAAAATGAGTATATACAAAAAAGAATTTTAAAAGAATGAGAGATAAGCCTGTGTTTAATAAACTTTGCTACATCCACCATTATCTTATCTTTTATCAATTGCACATGAGGGTGCATTTGTCACACTCAAATTAAAGAAAATAGACAACATAAAAAACTATGAATTGTGATGTCTACTCTTATCTACTCTTACCTATTAAACATGTCTCTACAATCTAATCTATTTGATATTCTTAAACATGTCATGACAAAATTAAAATAAATAAATAAGGGTTTGTTTGTTTTTTATTCTCTAATTCTATAGTAAATCAATTCTCATTTTCAACCACACATTCTTCAATAAAATAATATTTTCCATCACATCACTAATTTTTTTTCTTTTTTCAACCACACATTTCCCATCATATCACTATTCAAAAATCAATTCTTCCCCCAAAAATCCCTACCAAACAAGCACTAAGTATGTTTAAAATAAATTTAAGTTCAACCATAGGGTTAAATATTTCCCAGTTGTGAATTGTCAATAATTGTTTTCAAATATTATTTCCCAGTTATTGAACTTTGAACATTTTTCAAGTTATCATTGAACTTCCCTGATTGTTTCCCAATTGCTATTCAACTTTAAAATTTCTTCGATTTGTCATTAAACTTACCAAAATGTTATTCAACCATCACTCGCCGTTTAGAAAATGCATATCGCTCACGATTCTGATGACATGGCATATACTAACATTGAAGTCTATTACGAGTGAAAAATTTCACTTGTTATGTCATCATGTCTGTTAACTTTTAAAATAGTAAACGACAGAATGACGAATGTGATAAGCTTTTGATAAGTACATTAGTAACTCGAAAAACTTTTAAAAATCAATAGCAATTAAAAAACATTTTGTGAAAGTTCAATCACAACTATAAAAACTTTTAAAGTTCAATAAAAATTGAAAAGTATTTAAGAAAGTTTATTTTAGTATTTATCAGGGTTCTAAAAAGTATAAAATGTGACGAGATGTGGAGGCCAAACTTCCGACTAAGCGAGCCTAAACATAAAAAACGTTTTGTTTTTTTAATATCATTTTAAATTTTAAAATTAATTTAAAAGTTATTCAACAATTAAAGAAAAAAATAATAAAATAAAAGCAAGATGAGGGGCGTTTTGCGCCTAGCACCGCTCTTTAGAACACTAGTATTTATATCTCTATTTTTCTTTCATTACATTAATTGGCACATTTCGTTTTAATAAAAAATTTGTCCTAAAAGTCCGATCGGAGAGCGTAAATGGCTTACTTGTCCATCTTTATTTGATAGTTAACTACGACAAATATTGTTTTCCTCATTTCAACGTACGCAAATTTAATATTTCAACAGAAATCATCATCAAATGGCAAGATATGCTAACTAATGAAAAATTGAAGATAATAATTTACAAAAAACAATTAAAGAAATAAGTGCTACAATAATCAAATATTGTGGATCTTAAGTACAATTAAATGTAGTGTAACATATAAAAATTATTATGTGAATATAATTACCACGATGAGTACACAATTGAGAATTATTTTAGGGTGCAGCTAAACTCATCAATCTCTACTCATTGTAATAATTATTTTCGTAACCTTTTTTCAATCAAATTCTTATCTGTAACTTCCACTAGTTAGCCTATCTCGTCTTTGAAAATGATTTATACCAAAACAGTTTGTTTTCATGCTTTAAAATGAGGGAAAACACTTTTTTGTGCTTTTTATTTTTATATGATGAAAAATAAATTATTTTTATACAATTTCAACAGACTTTTGAACAAAAAAATGTTATCAAATACAAAATGTATTAACTAATGAAAAGTTTGAGGATATGAATGAATTGAAAAACTTTAGAAACCAATTTGCTAATGCTCTGTCAATTAATAAATAAACCTGATTCTTCAAGTTTTAAATTCAAGAAATATGTATTTTTATTTTCTTATGTCAATCAATATACTTCACGATTGTGCTGAGTTAAACAAAAAGTTGAAATTTATATGAAAATGTGTCTCCGGTAGATAGTTACAGTGCACTTTCAAGAGGAATTTCATTGCCTACGTCAAAAGTTTTAGTCAATTCAGATACTCTATATCTGAAAAAAAAAAAAGGGGAAAAATTCATTTATCCTACTTCATCTTTACCCTATTTCAAAAATAACAAAACAACTTTCACATTTCAAAAATCAGATTTTTTGACCCATATATACACATATTTCTAAATATTTATTTATATATTTAAATATATAAAAAGATATTAATTAATTAATTAATATATCTATATACACACAATTAACCCACCCCCACCTCC